ACTGTAAACAGGCAAGATAATTCGTAGCTGATGTTCGCGTATATTTCAGTTTTATCGAGGGAAACGGGCCGACGCTCTGCGAATAACGCTTGATTAATCCCGGCGTGCTGGTTTACCTTGCGCTGTATGTTGTACGAAAAATCTTTTACAAACCATCAGCGTCGCTTTTATCTCCGATTTTAACCACACACCGATGATATCGGCGCGGATGCGACGCGTTACAAACCTGTGAGCGTAAAAAAAATTTCCAGCCTCTTCTCACAGAATTTTTCTCACCCCCGAACGACTGCGAATCGCGCGCGCCAACATCACGCCCGAACAGAGAGAGCGAACGAAGGGAGGAGGGTTGGAAAACGTGGAAAGTGAGACAAACGAAGGTTGAATGGCCGTTTGTAAAATTATTGGGTAGAAAGAGGGAAATCGGGTGCAATCCGTGCGCGGCTAACCGCAAATGCCGAACGAAATATATTCGTCCCTTTCTCATTCTCTTTCGTACGTATATTCGTGTGTCTTTGTCTCCTCTCTTTCTCCTTCTGCTCAGTTTCCCCCCTTTCGAATTTCCTCGTCACCCCGCCTTTTCCCTCTCTCGCTTGCATTTCTCTGCTCATCGGAAATCATTGCCACGCCGCCAATTGTCAGCTGGTGGTACGGCGGATTGGCTCAGGCGCAAACGCGTTATCTCTTCTGTTATTCGAAAAGCATCACGGTTAAAGGGTGCCTTCGGTATTCATAGTATTCGCGTTTCCGTTTTGCATTCGTTAATGTTATCTTAACGGATACTTGATCGAGCATTTCATTTTCTCATGGATCCTGTCCCGGTTAATTTCCTAAATCGGATACAACTGTTTCTGGTACAAACGTTTTTCAACAGAGTATCGGTGCTGCGGTATCGTTTTGCGGGACCATCCTTTTGATTGCGCATCCTACAAGTAGTTTTATTTGACTTCTTTCTACATAAAGTAGCGGCGAACAAAAAACCGTCTAGTTCGCGGGAGGTAAATCCAGGGCGCTTTTCATCATATTTCCCCTTTAATATCGGTGCTGTTCCGCGTCATTGTTCTCTTCTGTCCTCGACCCGCCTTCGATCGGCCATCGTTCTCTCTGGTCCGCTCATCGGAAATCATTCCCACACCGCCAATTGTCAATCGCCAGTAGCCCGGATTGGCTTCCATCCAATACAACTAAGTTCTGCCGATTCTGCGCGGGTACGATCGTGTTATCCGGATTATCCGGAAATCCGTCAAATCGAGACAATCGATGGAACCTATGGAACCTAACTGCTGGAGACGCGTAAATGCTGGAAATGGAGCGTAATTCGTGACCCGGAAGTGGCGATGAATTAATTTATCCGTACAATTCAAGGATTAAAATATTTCTCCGAGAGCAAATTAAATCGGCATGACCGCTTGTTTTGTCGCCGATTCAACCAGCGATCGATAAACGACTGGACTATCCATTCGTGTTTAAGAGACATTGAGAGCCCCGAAGGTTTGACGAAGAAGAGGTAGCATTGTGACTGGTTATTACCTTGATGAAAATGGAAGGAAGGATAAAGTCGAGAAAAATGAAATGCGGATCCATTAAAAAAGTTTAGACGCGTTCGTAAAGCAAGAAGTTCGAAAGGGTTCGTTAGACATTTCAATCAACCGAACAATTAATGTTTTGCCAACTGCAATGCCGCCCGGAAGATAATTAAACGAATGAATCCACGCGTAATAGGAAAAAGTTCTTTGGTGCCTTTGCTTTTGGCTGCTTCGTTTGTCTCTATCTCCATACTTCTTTTTTATACATTTTTATGCACGTTATTTATCTTATCGTATCTTGAAGAGAAAATTGGGATCGTCCCAGGATATTTCTGTGCCACTTCTTCAGTTATAAATATTGAAAATGTGGCATCCAATTGCCATTAATTTGTTCGTTCTACTTTCTTGGAAAACGTAAAATCAGCTTTTATTATCGACCATCGATATTCAGAGAAATACTCATCGTTCAACATCGATCGTTTTTATAACGAATATTTATTAAACGACAATTTTACGTTTCGTGATTCTTTCGAAATGTCGAGGTAGAAGATGAAATTGATGAAATTATTGATGATATCGAGAAATTACCTGCACGCGAGACGACTAGTTCCTGAGCCGTTGTATATAAGAAATTTACAGTGACATTTAAGACATAAATCGACAAACATAAGGTACAACGACCGACGTTTTATCCACGAAACTTTTCTGAAATTGTACGTTTCCCCGAGAATTCCTTAGAAAATGTTACGCGAGAATTCCTGGTGGTCGATGAGGAGGATAAGTCGTCCCTGAAGTGCAGTAACCTCGGCAGAAGAGTGCCGAACCCTCTCTAGCATCGCAAGAAGATCTTATGACCCGTGCAAAATGAATGCATCCCTTCACAGGTTGCATCCTTTTCAACCCTGTTCGGGCTTTCCACCATTGAACCACCCGCTAAATCGAGCATGCTCGTAAAACGAAATACGGAATTTCATTTGAATCTTTCGCCGTTTCGGTCTCGCGTTTTCCCCCGCCCTTCCATCTCCTATTTTTCTTATTTATTCTTTATCTTTACCGAAATTGGGAGCAACGGCTTGATAAAAATATTTACATAGAGATTGCACCCGGGGACAGAGTCGACAGAATTCCCTCGCCTGACACCATTTCTCTTTTTTCTTCCCCCTCCCTTTTAGCGTATGATCCGATATAAATGGAAGTTTACCGCGAAAACAAGTACAGAGCAATTGAAACATGTATTCAACCGATACGGAACGCGATGTCGAGAAAGAGTAACGGAGCACGGCGAAGTAGACAAATGTATTTTCTGATGGCAAGGAAATGAGCGTGGGGAAGTTTCGTCCATTTCAGATGTGGAAAACATCCCCTCGATGAGACGATGCGGTTACGTTGGTTTCCTCCTTCTATCTCCCTTTTCGTTTTCCTTCTCCTCCCCTTAACCGTACTTGCGTATCCCGAACTGGTTACAAACGACGGGCACGGTATTACAAGCCGCAAATTACACCCGTACCACCCCTTGCTGCCACGTGAATGTGCGAGCCCAAGACTGCTGGATTACAGCCCTGACTGCGAAAGCTTCTACCGGAATACCGCTCTGCCCTTCTCCAAAACGGAACGATCCGGGTTTCCGAGATAAATTAGGGAGAGGAATATTAACTGTCGTTTGCTAGACAATTATTGAGACTCGGCAAAGCGCGAAAACGCCTTCCATTCTAAATATACGACCAGACGATTTCAACTAATCATACGGATGCTTACGAGAACATATTCTAATATGTTTTAAGGACTTTAAATTAACCATTAAGGTCGTTATTCGCGAAATATTCGTCATAAATATTCCTCAAATGGTGTGAGCATGATACCTCGACTAAAGGTCTCGCCAAGATAAATATAGACCGTAATCCCTCGTGTAAAACGCTACTTTGAATGTAGTCGTTCTCTTCATAAATTGTAATGTATATTGTAATATTCGCGACCGGTCCTTTCTCATTTGGTCGATTCACGTTTCGCGAAAGTTGCGGGAAATTCATTACAGAATTACCGCCATGGATTTCCTAAACGATGAATTACTATGTTCCGCGGCTTTACTTTAATCGTTCTGATAACATCGTAATGCTGTCTGATACTTCTAAGTTTGTTTCGATAACGAAGATAGATTAAGAACCGGTTGAATTTAATTTAGCTGCTAATTAAACTTTAGATACTATGTTTCATGTAAGAAACGTGTGTTCACTCCGTGAAAAAGGATGGTTTGTAAAGAATCAAGTTTCGCTAAACGCTACCAGGCTAGTCGCGTTAAGGATGGCACGGAACAGGGAAACGAAATCGTCGGCCAAAAATTACGCTGCGAAGGAGTCGGAAAGTTTTCGGTGTAATCTCGCGCTGCGGTTTAATTTTCCGGAATTATGCGCCCGTTGGAAAACATGCGCGTATCTGAAATCCTCATTTTACAGCGACGATCCTTTTCGCTATTTCGGTCGTAATAACGTGGCAAAGAGAAAGAACACTCGCGATATTACGTTGTTTCATTAATTAATTTACACCAGACGCAACACTGGATTACGAGGCTCACAAGCGATTTCATTCCTTTTGAACACAACTCACATTGAGATGTATCGTCATACAAAAAAGGGAAAAATGTCTCTATATGTATCAAACTTTACTTATCTCTGATGTATGGAAAATTATGTGAAAACCTATGGCATCGTCTCTTAAACAATCATAGGGATAGAGAGAAATATTTTTAACTGAAACAAAAATTATTCCCTGTGCTAATGTTTGAGTACCGCGCGAGGCAACAGAGCTCTGAACGATTTTCAAAATTCGAGCGGAACGAGATAAGTTGCGCTTTACCGTAGAGATTGTTCTTGATATTTCGATGTTCGAGGAGACTAGTAAAGAAATATGAAAGATCGAAAGGCAACAGAAAACTCGAAAGATGCGGCGAGCACACAATGTTTTGGAAACAGATGTGAATAATAGAAAGGAAATATGTTGTGAGGTTAGAGTTAGCGACTTTCGATGAAAGATGGAATCGTACTCCTACAGATACGATTCGGTTGCGTGAAAACGAGTGTTCGTCAAAGATACTACGGTTGGATAAAGCGGACAAAGTTTTCCTAGGCAGGAGCATTACTTTTTACGAGAGTGACACCCTAGAGACGAACCGCATCTAGGTATGTGCTCCATATTTCATACTCTGTTGCTTTCAACGGGCATTACCTTGTGGCTATGTTAGTTGTTACGCTTTAAAATGAAAATAGATGTGGTACGTGTTTCTACAATAATAAATAAAAAGATACACTTGTATAACTTTCAACATATTCCACGCCGGCTTAAAGTCGAGAAACGACTTTAAGGGATTCTTGCGTGAATCTGCAACAGAATAGTCGCTATAATATTATCGTTTGACTTTACGATATGCATTGTAATGTTAACGCGATCGTAAGGAAGAAAGTTTAGGAGGTTTATTAAATAATATTTCATTTATTTTCAATATTAAGTATTTATTACATACAAGCATTTATACAATACGAAGTATTTTTAGACATGACTGATGATCTTTAGCATTCTCAGTATTTGTATGTTTAGAAACATTTGTTCGTATGTATTGGGATTATTATTATTGTTATTATTATTATAGTTATTATTATTACGTGTTCTTATAGAATAGTTTTAGTTAGACCGAATAAAATAGTTTGAATAAATAAACTCGATAATATAGTCATTGCATAGTTCTGTCACGGAAAGCAACGACGATAGTTTTATGGTTAAAAATAGTCCACGTGGAGCATCGAGCTATGATACGTAAAACTGATTTGAGTTCCCTCACGGTATCGTAACTACGCGCTTACGAAGCTTAGGCAATTAAAAATGTCTTAGGATCGTATGCTTCTGTACAGCAGTGTGCTTCAATCTTTGTCAATAAAAATACAGATTTTTGTTTGTTTGTTGTGTCGTTAAAATATCGATTCTTAGGTTTCTGTTTGCACAATAGAAATTATTTTGGGATACAACACACTGCGGTATTACATAAATATATGTGCTCAAAGTCCTTAAATTAAACAATTTCGAGGAAAAAGTACTGATAGCAAGCATGCAGCGCGAAATTCCTTTAAATCAATCGCAATAGAACATATGCGGAAAGAATTCAAGAGAACTTCTAATATTGTACGTAGCACAAACATAAAAAGATTACAAAATAAAAGAGACAACAAACGGTATACAGAGTTTGTATAGATCGGTGATAATCCTTTCAGGCATGTCGATGACTTCTCTCTCTCTCTTTTTCTTCTTCATTTCTGCTATTTGAAAACTAGGTTAATCAGATTTATACTTTATTAACCTTTGTATAAACAACCATGTGTATAAGACACTATTATGCACCTGCGATTGCGCAAGTGTTAAACACAAAGCATGCTAATCGTATTGATTTTATAATAGTATGCCACAATAGTAACAAATAACTCATGTCTTAGACACCAATTACAATGTTTGCTCAATAACATCAGGCTTTAAAATTATCATTTTCTATCTGTATACTAGTATGATACCACTAAAATGAATAGCCACTACTGTATATAATGATTAACACAACGCGACCTTTAAATTTTGTTCACTTCAATTGCTACAAAATATTTCCCGAGATCTTCGCTAGGATTTCCATTAATAATTATGTTAATGTCTTATTTTTGACTAAAACGTTTAATCGTAGATTTGCATTTCGTCTCCTACCACAACTAGTAAAATATCATTTATAAATAAAGTAACATAGTTGACAGTTTCTTATTTCATAAACGTATGCAGTGGCTATTTCACAAAGCAATCGTCGTCTTCGTCATCGTCGTCACATCACAGCTAGAAAATTTATGTTAAATTCACGAAAACGTAATAGTAATGAAATCTAGTGGATACCTAGAGTACCAATATTAGATGAGTTTTCTAAAAAAAAAAAAAAAACAAAAAGAGAAAAGGGATAGTAATTAAGGAAAAGAGAAGAATATGATAAAAACAGTAAAATTGCTTGACTAGTGAGCGCACGCCCCAAAATGTAGTATGGAAGAAATGTGTTTTTTTTTTTACATCATATCTGCAGAAGATCTTACTAGATATGACTATATATATATATATATATATATGTATATATATATATACTCGTTTTCTATATTCAAATTCTATAAGGTAATATTATACTATCTCTTATGTAAGGATAATCATTGGAGCTTACCTCCTACGTCATTTTGGCAGATATAAGTTTCGTAAAATATTCCAACCAATTCACCATCTTGTGCAATATTTGTCAAGCCGTTTTACACGTTCGTTTACGCATAAAGATTTCATTGTACCGATTAATTCGTGTTTCTCAAATTCGATAAAATCTCGTTCCATTAAAAATTGCCAGGATTTAGAACATTCTGAACGCGACATGTTACGGTATGGGTGAAAATTACGTGTGAAATTAATTTAATGAAATTTAATACAATAAAATATATACGCGTATTTTAAATCAATATGTTATAAACAGGCCTTATTCCCTTTAAGGTCTTCTAAAAGATTAGATTTATATCTATAGCATACTATAATGGACTGAGTGCCTATTTGCTGTTACATAATATTATTAATTAACATTATATATTATTTTACATTTCTCGTGACGTTTAAGGACAAAGTAGTCTTTTTTCTTTTTGACGTAGTGCCCCCGTTTTCTCTACTTAGGTCTCCATTTCTACACATCGATAGCGCATATTTACATTATCTCATAAATGACATCATCTCGAATATTATACCTATTACTCGCTGCAAAGCAACACGGTATATTTTCGAATCCAATCGTTCTTCATCCGTTCACCAGAATGTTTAATACGCGCATTATGATAAAAGATCTGCAGATCAAGAACAGTGACGATTACATTCACATCGTACATGATATATCTTAATATCGCGCTAGTAATACGTACACATACCTGGTACTTGACTATTATCTTGTGGCTTGTTGTTCATAAAAGAATCCTGGAACGGATTTACATTGGCATTAGCAGCGGTAGGCATGTATGTGTTAGCCATTGGAGTGAAAGGTATAGCTGCTGGATTTAGGTTCGAGTTGAGGGTGTCTTCATTGGCCAGATTGGATGTCAGTTGGAGTATTGGACCACTACTGCTATTACTGAGAGAGTCGAATTCCGTTAGGTCTAACAGGTTGTTGGTCACGTTGTTTTGTTTGCTATAAAATCAGCGAAAGGAAACATACAAATACTAAATAATAGGCAATTAACACTAGGTTACTACTGCATCAGCGCATTGTAATTTCTAATTTGAAATTACAATCTCTAAATTGGTTAAGCCAATTATAGACAACTCGCATTGAACGCTATCTTACTAGAATTAGTATGTACAATACACATACGATTATTTATTAGTAACTATGTTTTTAATCTCTTAATTTAAAAGCTATGTTCAAAGTATCTAATATGTCTAGAAAACGAATAAACGAGGAAAATAAAAAATTAACAACTATATGCTGTTTGCTGAATTTCTTCAAGTCATTCGTCTTATATCAAACCATAAGTATAAAAAATTATTCGGAAACAAACACTTATCCTGGGAACATATTTTATAATCGACTTGGTCGATGGCAATATTTTATCTTGCATCAGCACTATTTTCCTGGCTACCTTAATACTGTAAAGCAGCTATAAAAAGCATTTTATATATGCTTGTGAACTTATATAAAATTCTATGGCGTAACGTAAAGTGTACATGGAAAACACAATTAACATACAAAAGAATTTCCCTTTAGCCATACCCAATAAAATTAGGTATGTGCATTATGTAATGTATAAATATATAATACTACCATACAGCAGGTTTCACAGATCGGATCGATAACGATTGTTTTGACCTGTGTAGTTCCCTATTTTCGATTTCTCTTATTCATAGGTAGAATAAGTTCGAAAATATTCATGCCCTGTTTCGATATAGGTAACTTCCTGTAGGAATTGTGGAATGGATTGTGTGAAATATATATTTTCGTACAACAAAAGAATAATTTCAGAAATGTGTAAAGGTCGATAGTACATAGCAAAAGTAGACAGTAAGTTGACACGTACTGCTGGATGATATACAACGCAAACATAAAGAACAGGTACAAAGTAGAGCAAAGAAAAGTAGAAGCCACATCATATTGATACAATTAAATCACAACATGCATTAGTGGTAATAGAATCGGTAAGAAGAAATGTTGATATAAACATTGTACTTAAGGCACACACGTCGAGCTTGAATGATAACTAATTGGAGGTAAGATAAAGTAATAGTTCACCAAAAATGACAGACTGTATACAGCTACAAAGTTGAATACAAACATAGTAACATACTAAACAGTGTATCTTTGATGAACTTGTATGATAAAATTACAAACAAAATTTTTAGATGAGTCATTAAATTTATGCTATTTATCTTTCTTTACATTATGTACACTGAATTTATTATTGATTAGTTAGTATTTAACGCTATAGCTCTGTTAGTTGCTTAACGTTTCCATGCTTCGTATAACATTACATGTTTTATGCCATTAACGCATTACTAAAAGAATCGACGCACAATATAGTTTAAACCTTTCATTATTCTTTTAGACGTCTACCTAAAAATAGTATATTTTTAACTATTACACGATTAAATATAAATTATAAAATATATATAAGTATAATAGACAATACAATATACATTCCTCATACCTCTCGAGTTACCGATGATATTATAATCTTCCATATAATTCATTATTAGTTATTGGTATAATCATGCGATTAGATGAATTTTCAATAGCACTGAATAATTGTCATAAATCTGTTTTTCATATCTGTCAACCATTGCTCTGACTACTTTTGCAATGTACAATATATGTAAAATCGTTTCCATCATACTGGTGGTTTATTATGAAGCAATTTTTATCGAGCTAAATGTTATTTTATAAGCAATTCCTTCCAATGTGTATTATAGGAAAGCGCAATAAATTTTCTTATTGAAATAACTATGTATAGTGTACATATAGCGTAGATATATTTTCAAACTTAATTTTTCCATTATCGCACGAACACCACAAAAAACATCTCAAACAACAAAATTCATTATATACACATATTAACGATTAATTCTAAACACACCGCGTGCTTTTATATGTATGCATAATAAACGTACAGGATTATAATTTTTCAACATCTTTTTTAATTCTTCTTCTGTAGAGCAATTAAGCATCGGTGCTTTATTATATTTAATTTTTTCTTTGTTTTAATGCTGGTCATAAAATCATACATTATGTTTATCATGTGTATATTTAATGTGGCACATTTTTTCATTCTATTATATATTTGTTTAGAAAAAAATGTTCACACTCTAGCCATTTCATTCAGCATTTCATTTTCTACTTGGAAAAACCAAAAATTATGATATAAAACTGTAGCAACAAATGATATTAAAACTGTAGTAATAACGACGGAGGATTAAGTGATAATAAAAATAGATAGAAGGCGACATTATAAGCAATAATTTCGAAACAGATTGACTTCTTACTAGATACTTCAGAAATTGTTATTTATAGTTCATATTGTATGTGCGTGTCTATTAATTCGTCATGAATCTATAAATAACTTTTATTGTATAAATGACTAGAGCGTTACCCTGAATCATTCAATATACAAAGTATTATATGTATATTTGCGTTAAATCAAGATTTAAAAGTACTGTACATCTAGTTTTATAATGATTAAGAATCTGCATTTTTCACATATTAGCATGTACTTTTGTGACACTATAATGTAACATGTAATGCACGCTCTGATTCAGATTTATATTTCCATCTTTTTTCTTTTTTCATAATTGCAACATACATTTTAACTCTTTTTTTTTCAGTTATATTTTATACGCCGAATACGTTTATACATATTTATGAACGGCACTAAGAGTCAGTCGATATTTTTACGTATACAATGGCTAATATTGTGCAATAATTGTATCATATTACATATTACATTATATTAGCCATAATTTTGCATCATCACTTTGAATGAAACTACATTCGAGATTAGTAAATATATGACGTAACATCGCGTGTATTTCATATCTATATATTGTATTCGCACGAAACTTTAGATAAAATATGCATTTGATAGAAATAATACTCTAAAATGTTCGCTATTCATTCTTTTTCGATTAAAAGGATTGTTCTTCTTTTGAAAAAATATTTCTCATTCTATACGACGAATGCGCGCCGAAAAAAAGGGGGAGGGGGAAGGGGACGAAATAAATATTCTCATAAAATGTTATGAAAATAACTAATGCGTGGATGTATACATGTGTAAGGATAGTTTTAGCAATGTTAAATAACACTAGTCTGATATAAGCCTTGCATGGGCATTCGTAATAACATTATTGTCGAATGATCTAAAAACCAAATGAACTTACAATTCTTTGAGATGCTCTTCGATGTTATCTTTCAGTTTTTGTTATCGATGCGAAATCCAGTTATATCTTGGATTTTTTGTTTTTGTTTTAATGTCGGTCAGGTAAGTATCAGGATGTAACTCTTAGGTTAATAGAAATGTTTGTTACAAATCTGTAACTTTGAATTTGATATACTTACACGGTGGCATTATCCAGTGTAATTGATTGACTGTTGATACCGTTTCCGTGATTTGTATGATGACCATTCAGTTCTCCTTCCACATTACCCTGATTATTATCCAACACAATTTTACTTTCATTAATGCCATTACTATGCGTGCCGTTATGCACAATGTCCGTAGTAGTATTGTTTTCTGTATGATGAGCTCGTTGCTCTCCGCTAATGAATTGTTGAGTCGCTTCGGATATCAGACTGGCTGTCATAACATCTTCGACTTTGCTACCTGGTGCCGTTTTATTTTCATCGTTAGGACTATCTTCTTTCAACTTATCGCCATCACCACCTTCACCCTATACAAAGCACGATACACGATCGTAAATATTTCTTTCAGGAACAAGAGTTTAATTAACAATCACATAAACATTATTCAATGAACGAAAAATGTGTAATCTTACTTTCGTAGGTGTATTATTCTGGTTCTTGCCCCGAGTTCTAAGCATGATCGCCTCGACACGTTTACGTCTAGCAAGTCTCTCTTCCTCTTCCCTCTTAAGGCGTTCTGCCATTTCGATCCGCTGTCTGTAACAAAAACATTACATAGTGGTCATTAAACGCTTGACCACAGAGAATGTTGATCGAATAAAATCACGTCATCTGAAAGAAATCAACTAACCTTTCCGCTTCTTCCCTCGCTTTCCGCTCAGCCTCTTCTTTCTCTTGTTTCTGACGAGCCTCCTCTTCTCTTCTTCTCCTATCCTCTTCCTCGCGACGTTTTGCTTCCTCAATCGCCAGTCTCAGTCTCTGCTCCTCGGCTTCACGAGCTTCATTAGCCAAACGAAGCGTTTCTTCCTCTAAACGACGTTGTTCTTCTTCCTCGGCGCGCAATCTCTCGGCCTCTAAACGGGCTTCTTCCTCCTGTAAAAAGGATCTCTCTATGAAGTCTCTTCTTTTCGCGAATAATCCACTCTTTTATGCGAAAAATCTCTTTAAAACCGCACCTGTCGTTGGCGTTCAAGCTCGGCTTCTCGTTCAGCCTGTTCTCGAGCTAATCTTCTACGTTCAGCTATAGCTGCCTTGGCTTCCTCTTCCGTAGTGATCCGGATCTTTGCTATCATCGATGCTAAAAAAGGGGCCATTTATTTATTAATCTTCTAATCCATATTTCAATATCCAAAGTCCAGCTTACCTGACATATCGACCTGTTCCTCCACGTTATTCTCGGATTTCGCCTCGGCTTCCTTCTTCGCAGCTTTGGGTGTTTCTTGAGACCGCACAGTCGATTGATTCTCTTGATTCAAATTAGTTTCGTCCTTCGTTTGCTTCGATATAGAATTGGATTGTTCGATAACAATCGACTTTTTCATTTCTTCGTTACCCTGCTCCGCGGCGCTTATTTCCTGCTGCAATTAAGAACACATAACACATATCGATCATTTTCATGTGTGCACAGCCTGCATTTCCTTAATGGAGAAAATTAATTACTTGTGTTTTCTCAGTGCCTTGGTCTTTCTTCTCTTCGTATTTATCGTCTAATTTTGTATCCTCTTTCACTTCGCTTTTTATTATCTCTCCGGTACTACCACGAATCAGCGGAGCATTCTCGGCTCCAGGGCTTTGCAGCGGTGTCACTTTCGGGGTTATTCGCGGTGAAGCCTTCGCGCTCTTCACCAGTTTCTCTGTCGGCTTCTTGATCTCCGTCGCTTTCGGTGTAGATGATTTCTTTGGAGTGCTATGGACCTTTGGCAGTGGCGGTTTCGAATCCTTCGTCGATTTCGGTTCGCTCACTAGATCTACATATTATTACAAACTTGAAACTCACGACACGAGTCACGTTGTGTCTACGTACACGCGGTATTTGAATGTGCAATCTCGACTCATGTATTGAAAGAAAAAGGATAAAAAACAAATTAAATAGATAAATAACATGTAAGCCATGTACAGAAACTGAAACCGTAATTAATGAAAAAAAAAGAAAAAAAAGAAACACTGCATAGAAAAATCGAGAAAATCAACGTTCGTTTGGAACGACAATTCAAATTGAAAAAACAAACTGTTTTTCGAACAAAGTGTTTAGCAAACAGAAGTTCGGGTCCAAATACTGCAGGGCAAAAAGGATTCTCGTCGCGTCGAATGGATCCGCACGTTTTCGTGCGAAATGAACACTCGAGCGGTGCCCGCTTGATCCCTTCGTGTACAAGATTTTTTTTCTTTTTTTTTAATAACAAGAAAGTATTCAAAAAAAGGCATGCTCACTGTGTCGTTCTGTGACCGAAACACCGGTACCGGCAATAGAAGCAGGTCGCGGTCGACGCGGGGCAGCTGTACGAGGACGCAGATTGACGTTACTGCTGCCCACACTGCTGGCGCTTTGCTGACTCATGGAGCTGTGCGGTCGTGATGGGCTGTTCGGTGTCACCTCCCCGCTGCGGATGCCTACGCGTACCCACCCAAGGTGAACATCTCTTGATTTACGTATTTTATGCATTGTGTTCGTTGCACGTTAAACATTAAACAAACAAACGCCGTGAAATGCACGGCAGCATCGCGTTGCCGCGGCATTTCAGAGAGAACCGAACTTTTATTCTTTCTACTTTTTCTATTTTCTTTCGTTAGATTATCGCGTCAGATCGCGCCGATGCACAATGCTGACGAGTATTTGTATATTTCGACAAACAAATCGTATTTTCTGTTTCCTTTTTCCATTCCGTTCTATTCTTATCAGTCTTTTCGTTGATTTGTATATATTAGAATAGACTTAAATATATTAAGAGGTACAAGTAGCGAAATTAAATAGAAAACAAGCACCGCCACCAAAAATATTATTGATCGTGTCGTATGTGAAATGTATATGTACATCGAGAGTAACTGAGAAAAAGAGGCCGAAATAAATAAATTAGAAATAAAAAGAAACGAGGGGAAATTATGAGACCTCGTAAAAACAGCAAGAAAGAAAAGAATCAAAGAACGAAAGTGGAGCGATATAAATGTATTGCACACTAAATACGATTGCGGTTCGTCTGTACACAGTCTAGTATTGTGCGTAAAACGTGTGTGTACGTGATAAGATATATATATATATATACACATATAAGAAAAAAAAAAGTGTGGCTTACCGGAAAACGTTAGAGCGTACCTTCACCCTTGGTACCGAAAAGCCGGTAAGATCTGAGTTCGTTTCCTTAGCAGGAGCGTTTTGTTAATCAATTCAGTTTGTACAATAATTAACACAAAAAGAATTCCATGCAGTCGGATATATATCGTTGTTAAAATAATATAAAGTAACACAAAATCGATGGTTAAAGAAAAATTTGAAGCGTTAGGCGCTTTGAAGATCGTTTGTTAGTCTCTGTTCGATATGCAAGCAGTTAAGCATTAGTTTCTACCCGTCGTCTCACGAAGTTGCACGAAAAGTAACCGAGGTATACAAGGATTTTCTGTCTTATTGATTTACAATAGCTCCTCACTGTATTTGTACGCATGCACATGTGCACCCAACTCAAGTTATATAGAACGGCAGGAGTGCGAGCATAGATAGTGACAAATATCTGAAAATAGATTCATTCGGGGATGTAAAAAAAAAAAAAAGAAAAAAAAAGAAAAGAGAAAAAAACGAATTCTCAATCGTAAAACATCGGTTGATGAAAATTATTATAATCTATAAACCTGAAGATCTGTCTAGTTATTGTCAGTAAATAATACTGTCAGCGTGATAATGCCCATAGGGATATACATGTACAATATAGAATGATGTTATTGGTCATATTTACATAGTTTGTCTATGAATCTCTATGTGAATGACGATATGTCGATAAAATGAATATGATATTTAAGAGCAGAATGTCACCGAGAGTTGAGTGCACAAGAACGATCTTACCTTGCTGCTGTTGGTTCTGATGCTCGCGGGCTTTGCGACGAAGTCTCTCGGCTCTGGTTGGTCTCGGCATTGGAACCGCGCCTGGCAATGTACCCATGCTACGAGAGTTATCTGAGCGTTTGAGGCTCTTGCCTCCGGACGCAGCTAAATGTGACATGCTGCGACTCATGCTAGAAGCGCTCAGAGGCTGGCTTTGCTGTTCCGTCAGTGTGCTAAGTTCTGTCGGACGTTTCCTAGGCTGCGCCAGTTGGTCCAGCCTGGACATGGAGTAAGTCCTACCTGGCGAACGTGCGAAGGCCTTAGCGCTCGAACTACGCCCTGATGATGGCGGTCCATCACGCGGCGATGGTATCGTTGGCATCAGATCGGTACGCCTCCTGTTCACCCGCAGATAAACCGAGCTAGGGGTTCCCGGTGTTCCGTCGCTTTCTTCACCTGCAATGGAGTTTCCCTTAGAAGCGAAGCGCGAGAAGCGACCACCGGAAACTGCGCACTATACAGTCGTAACGTGTACAAGGCGCGCGTACATCCTCTGAACATCGCAAACATAAGAAAATTCGTTCCATTTTGCATGGATCGAGTGTACATGTAGAGTAGGTGTGTGCATATGTGTAGATGATATACGTACATACACTGGCTCTTGAAAACTATTCTGTCCATATTGTATGTGTTATACGAAACATTTTGAAATCTCATTCACATTTTAACGAGACACGATTGTCATTATTTGCTAAAATAATCATGATAGTTGTGTCTCATCGTAGTGTTAATGAAATTTCAAAATATTTCATATAATACACATCATACATACTTATATTCATGAAAGGTGTCTACAAGTATATGAATATTTTCGTGAGCCTGTGTATAGGTATGTGTAAGTGATGTGCATTTGGCATTCCGTTTTCGACTATTCTAATATTCTCTACTGGTCAATATTCTTCATGCTGTATCCTGTGTATGTATATGCGTGTGCGTGTAAGTGTTTGTGTATGTACGAAGCAGATAGAAAGAACTTTTGTGCATAATACAGCTTGGACGTCATTCGATAACGTTACCAGGAACGGAATGTTGAGCAACGGTGTTGTCACGGATAAAGTGATATATACATTATGGCAGAAAGATATTACGGTAATTAGAGGACAATGAGAAACTGGGAACGTGTACGAACGACGTTACGGAAGCGGTGTAAAACGGAAAGGTGGTACATGCAAACGATATCCGGTAAAAATCTCAACGCATGCAGAAAGCTATATATACAGAAAGTGTCTCGTGTTATAGCATTCAAATTAACGCATCAACGTGTTCGTATGTTCATATATCGAGTGAAAAAATGAAAGAAGCTGTTGCGAAAAAAGTAAGCGTTTTAAAGAATCTCGTAAAATCGAATCGACCGTTTGATATCGACAAAAAATGTTTTTCTATTCAAATGATTGAAAAATTCGTAAAAAGAAATATTTATCTCGATCGAAGACTAAATAGAAATTCAATTTAAGTACAGTATGTAGGGATGTAATAAGTTTATGAATGATATGAGTGTATAATGCTTGCCTCTTATAATAAGTAGGCAAATGTTAGGAAAGTACAATTAAACGATAGCGTGTCTCGTTTGAAGTTCGTATTCGACTATTGAGGCACCTCAGCTTCTCGATACTTATTTCCATTTCGTAAAACTGCCACTGAATAAAGTAATGCTATTAACGAGAGAAAGAGCAATATCAAAATTAGTATTCTAATATAACACTAAATTCTTACTCTAAATTCGTTAGTAAATAACCTATCTAAACGTATGTAAATGTTAGTAATTGTTAGTATAGAATTCTGAATAGCGTTAGGATGCATATATGACTAATTAATGGTATACGTCGTTCAACACCGATCCTCGTTAATCTGAATTTACATAAAAATCAAGATATCCAAGTACGATGTTACCAGAAATATATATGACAACTATCTAATAGATAGACTGCGAATATTTATGCGAATCTACGTCTGTAGTGAACACAATTAAAGAAATGAGATCTGAATAGAGCGAGGACTTTGCTCTTGATATTTGATGTATATGTTTGCATATTATATACGTTCTATGTATTCTAGCACCTTTAAATTTCCCATAAATGCATAAGCTTTCGCAATCTAAAAATAGAATTAGAATTACATCATCGGTGTTCCACGACTTCACAGGTCTGTACAGATATCTTTATGGCGTTAAACGAAAGTGACATGCTTGCAAGAGATTATATTCCGATGTGCTAATGAAAGAGAGACAAGGATACGTTATATTGATAGCTCATTCTGGGATAACAGAACAATCTCCCCGTTGCAGATTTTTTTCTTTCTTTCGACTTCAGGACTCACCACTGGCAGCCCGCTGAATCATCGGACGCCTAGTGTCGCTATCAGACTTATCATCGATGGCAAAGATGTCAGTTGTAGGAGGCAGAGAGAGGCTGGCTCTCTTATGTTTGGCGGGGGTTAAGGGAGGATCAGGGCTAGAATTCCAATTGAACACCTCGTACATGGACGAGGACATTCTCATATCTGCAAACAAACCATTCAGCGCTGCAACATTAGGTACTTTCCAATCGAATTCTCTTCGTTTCTTCTTTTTTGTTCTTATTCCTTTTTTTCAATTTCTCTTTTTTTTTAATTCTCTCAGGGGTGGGCAAGGGTGGGGTTGTTCGACAGATTAACAAACTTAGGGTGGGGGGAATTAGCATGAGTTAGATATAAGTGCGATTCACAGATACTTTAAAATTACACTTTGCCTGACAGAGCCACCACCAGTAAGTACAGAGATAAATAGAGCGGATGCAATAGGATCTTAATTACCGAACGAAAGGAAATCTATCTCTCTCCGGTCAATGTTACAACTCTAGTGAAATTACATTTACTCAGGCATATATTCTTGCTACGAACAACTATCTGTCTCTCTGTCTATGTACTTTTGACACTTGTATTTCGTAATAACGTGTACGGATTACAGAGAAGTCAGCGCGTCGAAGATGAGGTGCTTCTCGTGTGTGTACATGAAGCGATATTATGTTGGCAAAAGAACATGATATATAGCAAAAAAAAAGAAACAAAAAAGAATAAGAGAGGAAGAAATCAATAACATCATCTCGTTTATCGCTGAAATCAAATTGCATTCGTCGGGAAACGCAGCGAAATTAAAAACCGGTGGAATTGGCTGCGAAAAACATACAATACGAACTGTAGAAATTTAAACGAAAAACCTGAAAAAAGTACAGAGAATGTAAAACACATTACGAATACGATCACGAATCATTTTATCTATCAACATTAGATAATCGATCTCTCATGCTCCGTAATTTCCTTTTTTCTTTTTTAATCATCAACATGGAGATATCGTGTACAGTTGAATAAAGTCGTGTGTTGGTGGTTGATGTGTAGTGTTTGGTAATCAAACATCATCGTAAAAATATTTATTCGTCGAAGGAAGCTCGATTTATCGCTAGGATGAGGCGCCACGATTTTAACCCGGTTTCGTAAATGATTAGTAAATAATTTTTAACTGAAAAGAGTAGCGCACAAGCCACGCACGCAAGTACGTATAAAAATGTCTCGTTCGCCTTCTGCGTAATCTTTCTGGAACGTAGTGCATCCATGCGTTACGCGTTACGGCGCATCGATTGCGCAACTACATATAGCACTAGAAGCGCTGTGTAGAAAGAACGCAGTGAGAAAAGAAGCGGCCTTCGCTGTACGTCTCAACCATCGGCAGCTCGACGATTTTTGAGTGCCAACACGATGAAAGAATAATTATTACACCAACGACACGATATTCGCTAACGAATTTTCTTTACACGAATTCTCGCGATTCTTTATCTGTTCGTTACTATCCATAACTGACGATGTTAACGACAGACGTCGAACAATTTCTACGTGCTTCCATCGCTTAACTACCAGATACCAATCAAAATAACATCGACATGGATGACACGAATAGGCAGAAAATTATCGTAACAAACACTATTACGAATATAGAAGTTTGATGTCACAAATATCATCACCGACGTCTGTCGTATTAAATTAAATACATGTATCCGCAAATATCAATAACATCCTCGTATCTGTATTCGGTTAAGATATTCCCACTAACCTTCGCCGGGTTTCCGGTCAAGTCCACCAGCTGACGTGGCTCTCTTCTTGCTGCCATCGAGCTCTCTCTCTGAGGATCTCCTTGTCAACGGCTGTGCAGCCGAGAACATCATTACATTGGTGGTAGAGGTTGCGCGACGCGTTCCCCAGAAAGTGGAGCCACCGGTATCAGCTGGCTCCAACATCCTCGGTGTAGAACTTCCGAACGCAAACACGATATGCGACCTCTCGTTCTTCTTCTTCGCCTCTATACGAGCTTCTCTCTCTTGATTCTTTCGGAGGATCGCCTCTCTTCTTTCTCTTTCCGCCTCGCATATCGCCCGTTTTCTCTCTCCGACTTGGTTTCGTCTAAAATAAATATAAAACGAATATTTCTACAGAAAGCAGATTTCGAACTAGAGGTTCTCAAGGTACGACGAGCTACGAACGAGAAAGTACGTCTTCGCGTACACGTAATAGGCTGTTATTCTTTTTTTAGACGGGACGGAAAAGTGATTTTGCCGCGGGTGAACTTTATGCAGGTGTCGTGGTAATTTCCCGGGCTTCTCTGCGGCGGCGAAACAGTTTAGCCCGGCATCATATTAACCAGGTCAACTTATAACTTCATAGAGAGCCCGTAATCTCGTAAAGAGCGCGTTTAAACACATCAATGTGGTTCCGTGTCGGTTTAAATTCGCGTGTCATAGATTAAAAAAAACTACCCTCAAGGCATGCGCTCTATCGTTCGCAACTGGATCGTATTAAATAACCCAATTTCAAACGCAAAGCCGGCTTAAACTCTCATCGTTTTCCCATTCGAGCGTAAGTTCACTCTGACTTGTACCTTTTACTACAAAAAAAAAAAAAAAAGGGAAAGAAAAAGTGCGAATATAAAAAGATAAAAAACGACGCAACTGAAGAATTACGAATTTTTACGTATCAGTAAACCTATTAGTGAATATTAGTGAATTACTTTTGAGTAAATGAAATGAAAGAAAGAAGAAAAAGGAGAAAAGAAAGGGAGAAAAGACAAACCTGTCGTTGTCACGCGATTTGAGCTCGTCGATGCGCCTTCGGCGTTCCTCTTCCCGTTGCTCCCGGAAACGTTGCGCGGCGAGAGCTTGCTGTCTCAGCTCTTCCAACTTCCGCTGCCGCTCTTCGTTTTGTCTCTCACGGACGAGCTTCGCCCTGTCCACGTCTTTCGCGCTTCCCGTCGACTCCCGTCCTGAGAACAACCGCGAAGATCGATTACTTCTTCTTGTCGTACGAGCTTCGCGTTCTGCTTGAAACACGTCGACGTTTACTCGTTTCCCAGACAGTTCTCGATAATAAAAGCGTAGTACACATTGCCCATTTAAACTCCGAAATCAATTTTAATGAAACTATTTCCAGTTATTTACAGTCGATCGTACGCCACGAGACAAAAGATTGATTATTACGATTAGACAACGCGAAAAATGCCAACGTTTTGGTGCCCATTCGATGTTTAAACAACCGAGGGAAAAATGTGAAAAACGAAAAGTCTCGACACTGCCCTTGAAAACGTGATACCTTCGTTCTCGCTAGGATGATCGCCATCGAGGGAGTCCTCGTCGTAGAGACTTTGCCGGCGCTTCACATCTGTCGAGAAGAAATCGAGAACATGTGCGTACGCACGTGAGATTCGGGTATTACGAGCAAAACACGCGTAATCACGACGCACTGCAAGCATACAGTTCTGCGGGTACACTGCAGCTACAAATGCATGCCTTTAAAGCGGTTGACACTCTTCAAAATGACACGATTCAAACAAACATGCTTCATGCAGTCGACGTGATGTCTAGCGTATGATAGTTTCGGTATGCGAATTTTCATCTCATTCCGATAGAACGCGTGTTAAACGTGTTCGGTCCAAGTTCTGTCGTGAACCGAACGAAATTAAAGAAATACAATTAGGAGAGAAAAAGGTCAGAAATCGCGGTCTCCATGGGTATATTTTCTCGCACAGATTCGATTACCACTACGAAGATAATCAATTTCCACGAGTAAACGCGAATATTCCTTTCCCACGGCGAGCAGCTGTTTTATCAGTTGGCAAAGAAGTGACAAGGCCGCATGAAATAAATTCTTTATTAGATTCCCTGTCTCTCTTCGTACGGTATTCCAGCTTCACCGACGTAACCCGTCCATTTTCTGTGATACCAACGTGTTTCTTTCGCTCGGATAATACGATTATTAAAAATAGGGTGCAGTAAAAAGCGTGTTTCGCACCTTGGGATGGAAACATTCGATTTATCGTTATGAGTTCACGTCGCGAAACCGTGTTCTTAAGTTTCTATACAGAATGAAGTTATGAATGGAATTCTTTCTTTCTGCCTGTCTGAAAACACTGGGCATAGAAGGTGACTTTATGTTAGATTACATCGAATGAGATACATTACAAGTTTTTGATACATAATTAAATGCCAAGCTTAGGATAAACATTGTTCCAAATTCGAGAAAGGAATCGTTCATAGAATGTTTAGTAATAATGAAAAGCTAAATAGTTGCAGGTCTCCAAAATTTGCAAAAATTACTTTGACTCCTAACTAAAAAGCAGGAATAGTTTTTTTTTCAAAAAATTAAGCTGGATACTATTACAAAGAGTCATCGAAGGAAACAAGTTACACATGCGTAATTCAATAAAATATTAATTCCATAAAAATGTATTATCTCTCAAGACTTTTTAAATCTCTCTGCAAATTACCTGAAAAGATCAATACAATGAGAAAGTCGGTAAGTTTTATGATTCTTATGGGTGTATTATATATTCCATCGACTTAATCGTTTTTGTTAGTTCTCTCAATTTCCGTCAATGTCACATCAAACTATTAATAAAGAGAAACGCTCGAAGAAAGTTGGTCACACGCGTGCCTGGGAAAACTCGCAGCTGATGTATGCGGTCATTTCCAATTTCCACGAGGGATTACTATTAATAGGTACGCACTCGTTACGCGACGCATTAAATTCAGCGCAAACGTAGCGTCGAATTTGGCAAAGCACACTCCGTTATTTACCAAGCTGATTATTACCTGACGAATCGGGAGAGGCTTCGTCACCTCCGATTTGGGCGAACCAGTGCATCGTTTGTTCTGCGGAAGATAAATTCGAAGTTCGTTCCTATAGGATTCTTTGTTTAAATAGACTATCCCATCCCTATAATTCCCATTGAAACGCGTCCTTGATTGTCGCGTTTGTTACATTTACTAGAGAACGCTACTGGGCATTGCTTCACACCGATCAGTTAAAAATATTTCAAGACATATCAGTTTAATTCAGTTTAGTTTAATTTATCTCTAGTCTGTGAATGTCTTTATACGCAAATCCATATTTTTATTAATACAATTATAGAAATAGAATCTAGATAAAGTATCTTTTTACTTACTACAACAACACTCAGTTGCACAATTCAACTAATGTCATTAGTGAAATATGACGAGCCACGAGTCGAAATTATTACCAATGTTAATAAATTTTCTTCGAAGTTTCGCAAACAAATAACAAATCGTCAGACTATCCTAATCGATACAAAATTGTACAATTCTAACAGAGAAGTTTGTAGGATCAAATTTGTAAATTTGTCAATTCGTTAATACAGAATTGGCAAATTATTGTGCTAGAGGACCCAGATATTATACTTTGCATATTTTATATATTTTTTGATATTATGTGTAATCCGCGCATTTTTGTAGCTTCAAATTTCCTTCAAATATAAAAGCATCAAAATTACCAGTTTATTCGTTTCCTTCTAAATATACGAAAATTAATTTAATCCCGGTGTTCCACTTTAGGTCCTTTCCGATCAAACCGTATTTTCATATCTTCGAGAAATTTCTTAAATTTGAGAAAAATACGGAAGAATCGTCATTGATACGCGTGAATTATCTCTCCAATTGTATGATAATTTTCTCGAAATATTAATAATTCTGTCCTCGGTTGAAACTAAATCAAGATTAAGGCTTAAAAAATTCGGAGCGCGCAGGTTTAATTCAAGAAAATCCCTAAAGCTGGCGCACCGAAGAGACGAACTCTACTCTGCTTCATGCCATGCGAAAGTACATAATTCCAAATTCAGATTTAATCTTCTTTCATAAAAAAAAATGAATGGTATGGATAAGGTGAAAACAAAAAAAGATAAAAAAGAATGGGGTAGAGAAAAGGAACGAACATTTGTACGTCTGATATTCGTAATTAAAAAGAACGTAAAATCTCATAAATATTTCCCAAAGTTTTTTTTATCGTTCATGAAGAATAACGACATCGGAACAGATGGGATCAGCGAGAGAATGTTCATGATGGAAACCTGTTCAAAGCTTGCGCATCGACCTTTGAAAACGAGAATTTAAATTGTGAAAAACGAGAAATTAAATCTTCTCTAATGATGCTCGGTCACAGATTTGTTGTTGCGAGGATCGTTAATTATAAACCTGCTCGCTTATTTTCGACATCTGGTGACGATTTGCATTCGATGAAGTGAGAAAGAGATAGAGAGAAAGAGGGGTGGTGTTTCACCCAACGTCGATTCTTCCGCCGACTGATTGCAAATGCCGTGAGGAAAAAACGCGGCAGCCGTTGACTATAATTGATAATTGCAAAACGTATAGCGGCGATGAATGGGCGACCAGCGCATTATTACAAAAAGGCATACAAGAGCCGTGTTCTTTTGTTAAACGATCGCAGCTCGATAACCGTCTACAGAGAGTGGCGAATGGAAATGGAAGAGCTCGCGTTATCACGTGGTCAATTATATCATTGGAAGTTGTTTAAATCCTCCGCATTCCGTCCCCACCTTCCCAACGATTCGTATTATCAAGACTGGCTGTTTATTGCTCTGGTAGACTCCATTCTTTTCAACTGTTGCGATGATAATAGCCGATTGCATATCGACGCGATGCAATGGAAAGAACGAATGATCGAGAAGAGCTGGAAAAGGATAGGCGCACGACGTTGCAGCTCCTCGTAAAATGGAATTACATTCGATTATTGATTGCACAGAGCCCCTGATGTATTCTGATTAATTGCAGTTCGCGTAGCTTATTTTCGCGACCTCGCGCTGCTTAAAAAAAAGGAATGCGAAAGGGGAGGGAAAAAGATGACCGGGAAGCTCGCAAGAGGTAGTTTGATTCGTTTCCATCGAACGTCAGGTAGAGGGAAACTGCTGCTACCTGCCGATGTTGTTTCCGGCTGCTGATTGCAAATGTCAGAAAAGAGGAAAAGGCGTGAGAGCGAAAGGGAAGGGATAGAGAGAGAGAGAGAGAGAGAGAGAGAGAGAGAGAGAATGTGTAGCTTGGTGGACCGCTTCGTGGAAGCCGTTGATGGTAATTGGACGTTTCATTAGCAATGCGGATGCGGAATCGAGCGAGAGGGAGTGAGACATTGCATGAACAGGAGGAGTTACCGGTAGAGCGATAGAAATAGGCGGGGAACGTACGCCTGGAAAGCCAAAAGGGGAAACAGGGTGAAAGCGTTTCGACGTTACTGATAATGTTACGGATATAAAGTTCTGTCGGATGCGGTCTCGTAAAAGGAGAGGGTTGTCGATGGAATTCGTGTCAACGGATTACGAAAAAAAGAAAGAAAAAGATGGCATATTGAAAGACTGCACTCTAAGTACGACACGTAATTAATATCAATGCTCTACTTTTCATGGGAAGTATCGATTGCGCGTTACCAGAATCAATAACATTTGCATCGAGTCCCTATTAGAAATTCGAGGAACTCGTTGGATATTCGAGTATATAAATCAGAGTGATTATGCGAAAGAGGGGAAAAAGGAGGAAAGATGAAGAGGAAAAAAAGAGGGGAAAAAAGTTGCGAGGGAAAAAACTTTCGACGATGATTTTAAATTACAGCGGTCTCGAGTCACAATGGGTTCCGCTTTCCGCGAAAACGGTCGAAAAACGTCGAGAGGCCCTCGGCGGTGGATATACACACGTCGGCTCTGTTAATCTTCCGTCGCCTGGAAGTGAGTCGGAAAACAATGGAAATCCAGCCTTTTCATCGGGTTCCGTAGGCCGCGTTGGAATTGAAATTTCGCTCTGAAGAAACCCAATTGTGGACCGAAAGCTCTGGAATCCGCAATAGTTCCCAGCCATTTCTAAAAGCATTTCCCTTATCTCTACGGGAACGTTTCATTGCAGATTTAGAGCTTCACCGGAAGCTATCAATCTTTCTATGGATACTAGCCCGCAATCTATGATTGCAAACTTATTACTCGATCGAGAACCGATTTTGTCTTCGTCCAGTCGACCGTTTCGTTACTTTATCAACGATTTTAAGTTCGTTGAAAGTTCGATAAGACGGCGAACTTCTCCGATCTTTTCTCAATTCTATGCTCGTCTCGATGAAAAATTAAAACCCCAAATCGTTTGCTAACAATTAAACGGATGAATCTTTACAAAGTACGAGCTTATGCGAAAATAGGTCGACAAATAATCCTGGCTATAATCGATGCAGTCCCCTTAAATAAACTATATAAGTTGCGACTATTTAGTTTCTTTTCTTTTTCTTTTTTTTTTTTTCTTTTTTGACTACCTTCGCGAAGAAGCAATTTCAGAGAGTGCAAATAAAAAGGTACGCGTGTTCTTTAACCGAGCGACAGAAAGACACGCTATTTTCTTCCGTGGAAAAAGAAATGACAAAGAACGCATCGCCAATTGAACACCCGTATACACTAGTCTATTGTTGTTGTCAATAGGAATGCGCTTCGCTGAATCGCTACGTTACAATGCAACGTAACGCTGCATGAAACAACGTAGCGGGTGTTATCTTGGATCTTCAGAAGGTGGAAAATGCATACGTGCACACAAAAGCCTTTTCCCAATCCCCCTCTTTCCCTCTCTTTAGACGCCTCTCTTTGGTTAATATTCCGGAATACTTTCACGCAAATTATTTCCAGTTACAATGGTCCTTAGATTCGAAGTTTTTATTCAAAGAGGAAACCAATTTGAGGCAAATAGATATCATATCAAAATGATATCGAAGAAATGTATGCATCGAAATTCCTAGTCGTGTCCATTTCGAAATTCGGAATTGCTTCAATCGTAAATCCATAATCCATTGGTTGATAAATAAACGCAGTGTATAAAAATGATCCATCGAAGATGTTGAAAACGATAATTCGGTCATATCAAGCTATAACTCGTTGAAATGCGGTTCTTTAGGTCAATATGTTCCTATTTCCGCACTGGCAAGGTCGCGAAAGTATCTCGCAGGCTGTACGTTGAAAAATCTGTCAGTAGATACAGGCAAGGGACTCTGTTAATCTTCCAACGTTAGGAAGTGGGTCGGAAAACAATAGGAATCTGTTCTACCCATCTACCTTAGCGCATCGTTCTTACTATTTTCCTGTGCTCTTCTCGAGTCGACTGCCTCTCCACTTCAACCACCTTTTCTTCTATCCTTGCTCCTTCAGCTATTCCTCTCTTCTGTCGCATCGGTATAATGCTCAAGCTACTTCTCGAGTAATATATACACAATACCAAGAAGTATCCGCTTCTTTTCACGAATACAAGCCAATGATCGGTGATTTATTACGCGTATAAATTAATTTCGCCCTCTTTTGAATAAAATTGAAATTTTATTCGTAGTCTACGTGTATATGTATAAGCTAATTATGTAATATATAATTACGGATCATTGAATAAGGTAATTATACGTCACAAATAAATTACGCGTAAATAATGATAAATTGTTACAATACAGTATCAGAACAGTACTAGAAAATAGTTATTACAATTGGATAAATCTAAAGCAATAGAATTAATTTACATAGCCAATTATCACCGGCCGATCCGGCGTTCGAGATTCGTCATTTTCGTTTTTAATGTCATTGCGTCAAGAATCATCCTGCTTTTAATATCTCGTGCCACTCAACGCTGTTCGTTTATTATTTCAATCGAATTCAACGATATCTCATCGACTAGTAGTAATTGCAAATTTTAAACATTTAATTTTCTTTCTTGACAATGGCCAACGATTGGAAATTCAACGATTTTAAAAATGGAATGAATCTCACGAATGAGAAAACGCGAGAAACATACACTTGCGGATGCGAACCCGGTAGCAACGGCCTTGAGCTATGTTAAAGTAGCTCCTATTCGCCGAGCACCCGTGAATTTGTTGAATTCAGTTTCACCCGGTCGGCACACATGTGCACACGTTTAAATGCAATGCGTCGAGTGGCTCGTATTCCATTTTAATGGAGGCTCGCCGGGAGTCTGCTGGTGACGATCGAAATTGTCCTGCTTTCTCATCCTAGCGCCACCAGAGTGTTCTACTAATATTTAACGAGCGAACGAGCCTCGCGTGTGCAACGATTCCGTGCGACTTCGTTTCTGTTTCTGACCTCAAGCACTGATAATTGTCCTCGCGTTTAACACCTGGCTGAATATTCCGCGAGCACACCTCTAATAACGTTATCAGCAAAACAAAATCCTTTAATTTTCCCCACCCCCTCATCTACCACCCCTTTATCGCATCTCCGTGGAAATATCGCGGGTATACAATGTACGAACAGCCAGAGGATAAAATTTGTATTATGTACGATAAAACGCATACAGGTTGGCTTCACGCCGGAACCGACAAACTTTGGCAGCATGTCCAGAATATTATTTTAAGTAAAAAATGTTACATAACCATGGTTCCATTTATTCAAGTCTGGACTTAAGCTTCGTTTAATTATTTATTTGCAATTCTACGAAATTGCATTTAATTCTACTACGAGCAACCGAGTACTCACGGGTATCCATTTCTATATTGCTTTTAAGAATTTGTTACGTTCCAGTGAAAATATTACGAAATCGCTCCGGACTCTTGTTCTCAGATATTATTAAATAGAAATTTATATACAAGTTTGAAATTTGGATATTGTATATTAAAGTTCAATTTTATTTATGTACTCGTTGGATAACAATAGTATCTTGGTTGCCTGTATAAGGATTGATCTTTTTCTACCAGGTGTATCGAATCAAGTGTGCATGAAATGAAAAACATGATACACATCAGCAGTTGGATAATTAGCATTGTTGATATTCACGCTGTGAATGGAAACAGGACTACTTAACAATACATGTAAATTATGGCTGATTATTACGGCTGATATATAATATTAATACATCTTCCATATCTCAAGAACGAACTCGAATCAGCCAATGATGCATGTAACATTTTTACTTGGAATAACATTCTGAACACGCTAAAGAAATTTATTATTCGCCAGGAAACACCCAGTATACGTATAACGATCAATTACCTGAGTTTGCTGCCATGGATCGTTAATCTCTTTGCAGTATTTAACACGCAGAGTGGCTCTATTTACACGTGTGTTTCCACTTTGCGGACGTTTTTGATTAGAAACGCTTTTGTCGCGATCTGTCGTCGAATCGAAAGTTCGGGCGAGTAAACATTTGGAACAAATCTCTCTAGGCTCGCCGGTGGAACGAATTTTTCAGACCTGCGTACGGTCACTGATATTTCGGTATTCTTCCAAACAAATGCACACGTTATTATCAATTTCATGGACGCTTCTGTCACAGCTGATTAAACTTCTGGCTTTTCGAGCGCGAGCTGAGATTTGCGGCGAAGATCAGTCGATAGGATTAAAACGTTATTAAATCCATTTGTCGTTTCACAGTGTGTGCAGATATTGCGTTTGTTATCTGGCGTTGACCAGAAGCGCACGGATCCACGATGTGGATTCCACATTTATAGATCGATACGCGGAACGATTTTTTATTCGACTCCACCAGGGTGTCTCGTGGTATGTCGCTTTTCATTTTCCACAATAGAACACGACATCGTTTTTTCTATTTATTTCTGTCGAACTTTCTATGTATTTTTTTTTCGGTCGTATTTGAATCGCATATTCACCAGATACGTTTCGATTCGAGGATGGTAAAAACTGAGAATTATCTTGAAAGACGACTCGATTTCTTAGCTGGATAATTCAGGAGGAAACATTATTATATTTCATAACTATCACTCAACCGAATACCTCGTCAAAGCTTTGCTTTACTGTCGGTTTTTAATAGAAAATAACAACTACGACCTTCGTACCAGTTTATTTGCAACGAACGGCTCCTATTCACGAATTTACAGCCACTGATCAACGAGAAAGACCATCCGTGGCTGTTGTGCGATAGCAGCGTTGCAATAGGAATATTTGCCAGAAGCTTCCGCGATAAAACGAAAACGTAATGATACTTTTCCACCGACATGCGATACGAAATCCTAAATGGCCTTTCCTAACTAACACGTACACGTATATATAAGTATGAACGATCATGCATGAAGTGTATAAAATTCTCGTAACATTTGTGGAAACGTGTGCGAACGAGATAACAAGAAAAAGGAGAGAAGCGATATAGCATCGCAACGATGTTGATCGATTGGATACAGTCGTGCCATGATTCTAATATATCGTGGCGATTTGTCAATTTTTGATTGCTTACCCTTCGTGAGAGAGTGGCGATTGTGTGCAGAACTGGACCTTTGGTTAGTTTCCTCAGAAGCGGCTCCAGCTGTAACAAAATTATTCGTTTTAATTGACCGACTATTGTTACATCGTTCAATATGACGATTCGATTTTTAGCGCAATTAATGTGCGATAGGCGGTTTGTATCGATTAAAGTACATGCAAGCCTGATTTTTTATTAATAAGTGCATTAACGTAAATTAACAATTAACGACTGTAATATATATGTCGGGTTAAGGTTGAAATTTTGCGCGTGTGATCGAATGGTCGAGATATTGATGACAACGAATTCAGGTTCGATAACGAATCCACGGTCAATGGGATGACGAATGAGTTATGATACACGTATGTGACTCCACGTACAAGTAAAACTTATCTGAATGAATTGATCTGCAGTCAAAGTGGAACTGCCCTTATATATTCTTCTCCCCATCTCTCTTTGTTTTTAAGCACAGTTATATAATTATTCCATACCTCTGTCAGGTATACGCGTCCCGTGACAGTTCAGTGACCAGCTATGTCACTTCACTGCCATGACCCCCCGGTCGTTTCTACTATCGTAAACATATTTTTAACCGTACCCATAATACGTTCTACCTGTCCGTTGGCCCTACTCGCACCGGTTGAGATTAAGTGGAGTTCAATGAGTTTACCTTTACAGAAATCTTGGAATCCTTTACCCGTAAAGCATTTCCCCTAATCCGCTATTATCCGGCAAGGATTTCCGAATAAAAGTATAGCGCACTTAAGTGCTTTAATAGTACTAAGGGAATCTATTTTACGAGTATGATGCAGATATACGAATTTAGTGAATGCGTCGACTAAAACAATGACATATTCTTTCGAATCACTTTTACCGCTTAGTTTGTCAGTTATGTTCATGTGAACTGTATGCCAAGGTATGCTGATCTTAGGTATAAGATGTAATTCAGCTTGTATTTTACCTGAACTTGCCTTCGAAACTTGACAAGCATGACAGTTCTCTACGAATTTACGAACATACTTCGTCATTCCTTCGAACCAGTAATACTCATACAGTTTCTCAAGCGTTTTATCCCAACCTAAGTGCATAATGGACTGGTGCACATGGTTAATAACGGACCACCTAAAACCTCTTGGGACAATGGGCAAGCAGAGAGTTCTGTCTTTTCTTTGTATTTTACGGGGTTCCGCGAAAAGAAGTCTACGTAGGCTATTCGTTTGCTTTCCCGATACATAATGTCAAAGGTAAAAGTTTGTAGGTAAGCCCACCACCTGTAAACCCTGTGACAATAAGAAATTCTCGTCCGTGTAGATAGTGATGGAAATGCTTTACAACTGCTAACGTCTCTAGTTCATAGGAATGATACTTAGATTCCGCAGGGCTAGTTCTTTTACTGTAATATTCTATTACCCTATTTTTACCTTCAATCTTGTGCATTAAAATAGCCCCATATCCATCCGAATTAGCGTCAGTATGAAGTTCTATCAGATAGTTCGGGTCAAATATCATTAACACCGGTGCGTCGGTCAGGACGGAAATTGCCTTCTGCTTTATTTTTTCATGCCTATCCGTCCAAGTTATATTTTTATTACCGGAAGTAAGCGCGTACAGGGGTTTCATTACCTGTGAAAATTTAGGAACGAATTTCCGGAAGTACAAAGCTAAACCTATGAACTGCCTAAGCTGTGTGACGGTCGTTGGTGCAGGTAACGAACTCAAGGCTTGTATTTTACCCGGGTTGGGACGAACTTCTCCATTCTGAATTACATATCCCAAATAGAGTACCGATGTGTTTAGAAAAGAACATTTTGAAAAATTAAAAGGAAATCCGGCGTTTACGAGGGTATTTAATACGGTATCCAATCTTTCTAAAGCTTGGTCTATCGAGTCGGCGATAATTAGGACGTCATCCAAGTAAACAACAGCGTACAAATAAGCAAGGTCGCCTAAGGCATTTAGAATGACCCTCTGAAAAACAGATGGTGCATTTTTCAACCCAAACGGCATCGTTATGTATTCGTATTGACCATCGGGGGTAACGAACGCTGTATACTCTGTCGAATTAGAATAAATGGGAATCTGGTGAAACCCGCTGGCCATGTCCAGGCTAATAAAGTATCTCGCGTTTTGCAATCTCGCGATTTGATCAGCAATAAGGGGTAAGGGATACCGATCCGCGACCGTATTTTTATTTAGCTCTCGAAAATCGACACACAATCTATCCGAGCCATCCTTTTTCTTCACGAGTAACATAGGGTTCGCGAACGGTGAGCTACTACGCCTTTCTAACCGGCCCGTACTTACGCGAGCACGTGGGAAATGAAAGAATTTTTTAAATTTTCGAGAATAGAGATTTTTATCGTTATCAATTACATCAGTGTCAACATCATTAATATTGATTTCGTCTTCCGCGGTTTTACTACAGGCATTAACTATCTTTGCTTTGGCAATAACGAGGCTATTTTGTGTAATATTTACGTCAAAACCTTGGCTTAAAATTTCGCGATCGATCATGACATCATATTTTAAGTAACTATCAAGGCAAGGACGTGGAAAGTTATCTCCAATGTAAAACCGTTAATACATACAGTGGACAAAATCTGAGACGTACTATTAACACAAGTATTTCCTACTCCTCGCATTACTACTAGATCAGTCTTTCTTTTGTCGGAAAATTTAGAGGCTGCGGATTCTTTAATTAACGAGCATTCGGCTCCAGAATCGAAGTAAGATGGAACGACTCACCCAGATGGCTTAATTTACTAGTCGGGGGTTCCACCACGCAGAACGTAACTCGATGCTTATTATGGGAATTATAGTTTCTTTTCCACAAACACAGGCAATTAGGCGAAATATGTTCTTCCTCGTTACACCTGAAGCATGACACCTTCGACGATGTGGCCACTTGGTTCTCCTCTGATCTTTGTGTGTCTTTCGGCTCCAATTCTATCTTCCTGCGGCACTTGGTCACTTCATGTCCGAGGTTCTCACATTGGTAGTCCCTAACCCGGCGGTCTGATGGGCTGCTTCGTTTAATTTCAGGGTCTGCCGGTGGATTCTCCGATGAAGGCTCCTGCCTCTTCTTCGCATAGGAGAGAGCATTCATTTCAGTTAGGAATTGGTCCGCGGTCCTGACTTCACTCGTAAGCGCTATTTGTTCAACCCGTTGGTCGTGTGAAGTCAATCGAAAAAGGACGCAGGCGTTGATTACTTCAGCCATAGTTAAATCTTTCCACCGCGACTGCAGGAAAGAACGAAGACGAATGCCGAAAGCTCCCGTGCTTTCGTCTTCTAGTGGTGGTTCATCAAACATCTTCATCAGTGTTGAAGTTGGCGTCTCTTTCTCGCCAAAATGAGCAAGAAAATGTTTCTTAAATCTTGACCAAGTAAGGCCTCCCCGGACTGGCATTTGTTTAAGCCAATGTGCTGCAGTGCCTTCTAGGGCACGACTCATAGTGGTGAATAAATCACCGTTTTGTACAGACCTTCTCTCCAGGAGTAGACCGACAGTTGCACACCATGCAGCCGGGTCGGCACCCGCGATTTCTGGGTTAAAACGCGGTAGCGATAATTCTTTAAGTTCCACACTCGATTTTTGCTCTCTCGGCTGCGTTAACTCGCGCATAATGGTCGCGAGCTGTTGCGTTGTTACCACAAATCCTAATCCAACTTCTGACATCGGGTTAAGGTTGGAATTTTGTGATGAATCTTCAATCAAATTTACCATCGCGGTTGCTGATATTCGTTCACACAGATAAAATGCCACATGTAATGACGAGGATGACGAATGAGTTGTGATACACGTATGACTCCACGTACCAGTAAAACTTATCTGAATGAACTGATCTGCAGTCCAAGTGAAACTTCCCTTATATATTCTTCTCCCCACCTCTTTTTGGTTTTAAGGAGAGCTATATAATTATTCCATACCTCTGTCAGGTACACGACCCTTCCGTGACCGTTCAGTGACCCGCTATGTCACTTCGAGCCCAAGCCCATCGTCATAAAATCGGATTAGAACATTAAAACTATTTCTTAGTTTTATTACTTAATTTTAGTTAGGGTCTTTCCCAACATTCCAAAAGGGAAGCCCCGATGTCCTTTCATCTCCAACATATATAAAGGCTCGACTGATGTAATTAATCTCTTGAACATTACAAAAAATATTAATAACGTTAGTTATATTAATCAAGTTAACGTAACAATGAAACTAATATTATTCGTTTTTTTACAAAATCTTGTGGTTTTGTCACCTATTTTCAAAAGACTATCTTCTATCTATCTTCGAATCTACCAGGTTGTTCATCTTTCAACTATTCCATATTAGAATTCTTTTCTTTCGTCGTCAGAATTTCTATTTTTCCCATCAGGTGTTCAATTTTCTCAACGCGAGAATTGATTGTAATTTCAACAAATAAATAAAAAAAAAGAGAGAGAAAAAAAAGGTGTTCAATTGTTGCTTTTTCAGATGAAGAAACAGACTGTCCAATTTATAATTTTTCAGACGAAAATTCCACCAGAAACTATCTTACAGAGTAAAGTTTATTACAAATTCTCCGCTGATATTCGGTTTCCTTTTCACCCTGTTAGGTCGCATGTCTCTAAATGTCGTCAAGTGCTGTGCTTGCGTCGACCACTCGTGGTTAACTATTCATCAAAGTTACTCGTGAGAGAGAGAGAGAGAGAGAGAGAGAGAGAGACACAACGTAGAGAATGGCTGCCTTTATGCCGGAGCATCCATTGACTCTGCATATAAGACTAACTATCACGATGCCTGCGTCTTTCGCCCACGTTGCTAACAAGCTTATTAACTGTGTCTTCATTAATCCCCTCTCTCTCCAAGCTGCTAATAAACACTTTCAACGGAGAAATTCAGCTTTCCGGCAGACAGACCGCGAGCCACGTTCCAATTATTTTTCCACCATGTGAAATTAGCCATGTAAATATCGTCGGGAACGTTTTTACGCAACCTGCGCGCTAGTTTCGTTTTTATATATTGTACGTACGTATATTGTAAGCTGATGAAACGATTACCCAACGACGTAACAGTTTTCACTCGTCAC